ACTCACCTCAACCAAACCAAACAACCCAAATTTCCTGCCCACAACTCAAAATTCGCGAGGTGACAGTCGATTGCAACCAAATGACCATTTTGCCCTTCATGAACTAAAGAACGCGTCGCACAATATTTTTCTGCCAAAATCAACCAACTATACGAACTTGTTAGCGGTTAATGCGATGCGAAATGTAATGAAATACGAAATGATTCGACTAAATCTCAGGGCAAAATTTGGGGTATTACACATAGCTCTAAAGAAAGAGTTGAAAGGTTAATTAGAGATGATATTTTATCTTCCTTAGATTTTAGTGATTTAGGGACTTATGTGGATTGCATTAGAGGAAAATTTACCAAGACCAATAAGAAAGGTTCGACTAGAAGTTCAGACATTTTGAAAATAATTCATACAAAGATTAGCGACCCCCTTTCTCATACTATTTGTGGTAATAAATCTTTTATCACTTTCATTGATGATTTTTCCTGGTTTGATTATCTTTACTTGTTTTAAGGAAAAATTAGAAGCACTTGAAAAGTTCAAAGTCTTTAAAATTGAGGTTGAAAAGCAACTAGGAGAGGTGATGAAGGTGATCCGTTCTGATCGTGGTGAAGAGTATTATGGTATATATGATTCTATTGGGCAACACATGGGGCCTTTTGCGAAATACTTGCAAGATTGTGGAATTGTTCCACAATACACCATGTCTGGTACTCCTGAACAAAACGGTGTAGCCGAAAGGCAAAACCACACTCTTAAAGATATGATGAGAAGCATGATGAGTAGGTGTAATTTACCAGAATTTTTATGGGGTGGTGCTTTGAAAACATCCCTCTATATACTTAATAGAGTTCATAGTAAATTAGTTTCAAAAAACACCTTTTGAGCTTTGGACAGGTAGAAAACCCAGTTTGAACCATCTTTGTGTCTGGGGTTGCCCTACAAAGGTTAAAATATATAACCCTTTTGAGACAAAGCGTGACCAAAAAAAAAGTCATGGATTTTTCATTAGATATCCAGATCGATCTAAAGGATATAAATTATTTTATCATGGTAGAGGTAATAAAATTGTGGAGTCCATGCATGCAAAATTCCTTGAGCTTAATGTTATTGAGCCTTTTATTACATATGATAATATTGATTCTGTTATGCCGGATGTTGTTACATTATCATTGCCTAATTTTGATAATGCTAGATCATCCACTGGTCATGGAGGTTTTGCTCCAAATGAGAATGTGGCTGAACGTCCAGTTGAAGAAATGGTTGAACCACTTGTTGAAAATGTAATTGATCCTCCTATTATAGTTGAGGTTGCACAACCTGATGAGCTAGTTGAGAAAATTCATGTTAGAAGGTCAGTAAAACAAAAACGACATGCTATCTGTGATGATTTTGTAGTTTATCTTAGTGAAGATGCTATGATGTTGGTATTGCTATTGATCCTAAAAATTATCTAGAAGCTATTACTCGTTCTCAATCTAGCATGTAGACAGATGCAATGCATGATGAATGAAATCCATGGTAAATAATAATGTTTGGAAATTAGTGGAGTTACCAAGAAATTGTAGGGCGATTGGATGCAAGTGGATATTCAAAACAAAGAAGGTCTCGAAAGGTAAAATTGAGAGGTTTAAGGTAAGTCTTGTGGCTAAAGGTTTCACACAAAAGGAGGGGATTGAATTTAATGAAACTTTTTGACTTAGAGTTGCACCAAATGGATGTTAAGACTGCTTTTCTAAATGGTGATCTTAATGAGGAGGTGTACATGCAGCAACCTAAGGGTTTTGTGTCAAGTGGTAATGAGCGTTTGGTTTATAAGTTAAGAAAATCTATTTATGGTTTGAAACAAGCTTCCAGACAATGGTACTTGAAATTTCATGAGGTGGTGACTTCATTGGGTTTTGAAGAAAATAAAGTCGATCAATGCATCTATCTTAAGGTAAGTGGGAGCAAACTCATCTTTCTTGTGTTATATGTTGATGATATTTTGCTTGCGAGTAGTTATCTTGGTCTACTTCATTAGACCAAACTTATCCTAACCAAGTTCTTTGATATGAAAGATCTTGGTGAAGCATCCTTTGTATTGGAAATTGAAATACACATAGATAGATCATGTGGTGTACTTGGCTTGTCGCAGAGAGCTTATATTGGTAGAGTTTTGGAGAGGTTTAATACGCAGAACTTTAAGGCAAGAGATGTTCCAATTACTAAAGGAGACAAATTTAGTAAAGATCAATGTCCTAAAAATGAGATTGAGCAGGCAAAGATGAAGGGGAAATTCTTTAACAGTGCATTGGACAATCTAATGTATGCTCAAGTATGCACTAGGCCTGACATTGCTTTCATAGTTAGTGTCTTGGGGTGATACCAGTCTAATCCTGGGAATGATCATTGGATTGCTGCTAAGAAGGTGATGAGATATTTAACGAGAACTAAAGACTATATGCTTGTTTTTAGGAGAGTTGATAACTTGAAAATAGTTGAGTATACTGACCCTGATCTTGTTGGGTTTGTTGATGATAGGAAATCTACTTCTGGTTACATGTTTATGTTTGCTAGAGGTGAGATATCATGGAAGAGTAAAATACAAACTCTTGTCACCTCTTCTACTATCCATGAAGAGCTTGTTGCTTGTTATGTTGCTATCAATCATGTTGTTTCGTTGAGAAATTTAGTGATTGTACTGCATATTGTTGATTCCATTGCAAAGCCGCTAAAGCTTTACTGTGATAACAGTACAACTGTATTCTAATATAAGAATAATAAAACTTCTAGCAGTTCTAAGCATTTGGAATTGAAGTATTTGACAATCAGAGGCCTTATAAAGAAAAATGGCATTATTGTTGAGTACATTGATACTAATTTCATGCTTGCTGATCCCCTAACTAAGGAACTTAGGACCATTGTGTTCAAAAACCATGTTGAGAGTATATGCATTGTGAGTTCTTTTGATGTACTTGGTTAGTGTGGGTTTGTTCTTTATGTCATTTTCTTATCGTGATGTATTTTATTTTGGACACTTTAAGTGTTGAATTTTCAAGTACTTTCAATTTTAAGCAATTGCAATGAATATTGTTATTATTATTTGTCATTGTTTATTTATAAGTCAATTGTTAAAATTGGGACTCAATGTCATTGGGAGCACAGTGTCCATGATCGACACTATGTTGGAGTTAGAGGTATGGTTATAATTTTAAGCTCGGCATCTTCGGGACCACTATACCGGTGCTCGATGATGTATTGGAGCTGAGGTATGATTTTAAGCTCGGCGTTGTCAGGACCACTGTGCCGGTGGTCGACACCATATTGGAGTTGAGACATTATGGTTTGTAAAACCATGCAATTTCTTTAGCTTTGATGTACTTGAGAGTAATTGTTGTTAAGGACTGACAAAGAAAATAGCAGTTGATTGTTGGATCACATTAGCATTAGCATGTTATTTTCTTGCCACACTCCACACTGATGACTAGTTGACGGAGTCCGTAGTATTTGTAACCACATAAGGTTTTATGTCAATGAAGGATATAATAATCGCCGTGATTCAATATTGTTTGATTTTTGTTGGATGAAGTCATATTCAGATATTGCACCTAGAATCATGTATTTCCTTAAAATGCGCCGTGGGAGAATGTTAGATTTATCTAACTTTTTATGGGCTACAATCAATTGTTGTTTAGTTTGTGAAAAACAGATTAATCGTGATTCTGATGGGGGTGCATATATAAGTTATTTTATTAGTTAAGTGATATCTTTTAACTAAAGGTTGAGTATCTAAAATTTGATTGGTGTGAGAAAAAGTGTGGGCTTTAACCTTAGGCCCGTAATGGGTAGGGACTAGGGTTATATATATTATATGGCTAAGTCCTCTCTGTAATCACAAGAGAATCAGAAGCATAATTGACAGCTCCACAACTTGCCTCATTGAGAGTTATGAACGGGAATGTGAAATACAGAGAAAGATCTGGTCATTCATCCTTTCGGAATTCTGAATCATGACTTCAACAAGTATTGATGTTTTAATTTCATATAATCGATTAATGAATATTTTCACTTACATATCCATGATAAATTGGCCACCATAGTTTGAGTCTTGGCAATGTCACAACACTTTCTGTTGCTATTCTTCTATTGCGCTCTTCTGATTAACCCATCAACAAATCTTCTATAGAGGAATGTCTCGTCCTACACATATTCGATGGTAAGGATACATTGTCCTTATAGTTGGTAAAGTCATTGAAAAGGTTGTACTTCTAAACAAAAAATAGTACTGTCTTTTATCTCAAAAAATAATATATTTATAAGAAAGAACAAGTTAATTACATTTAATAATAACATATAATGTAATGTCGTGCTATAATTGGACTAATGTGCCTCTGATTGATAGTGCTTTTTATTTGAAATGCTCTAACTCGTCTATATTATAAAATAAAAACAATGTAAATTAGAGGGGCAACCTTATCCAAATGCAAAAGGAAGAAAAAAAATAAATAAATAAAAATAAATGCCAAAATAAATAAATAATAAAAGATATAAAATAAGAAAAAATTACATGGTGTGAAATGTATAAACGATATTGGACATATGTTATACATAGAAGTTACACTCATTGATTGTTTGTTACCAGTCAGTTATAGTCAGTGACCAGTCAAATTGAAGTTGCAGTTTAGATATATCAGAGAATGCAGGTAAACAATCACACACACAGAAAGGGTTGTGTTGTGTGTGTGATATTGAGTCTCACACTAGAGAATAAATATATAAGGCATGTATGTGTCAAATACTCATGTCTTTTTTGGGTTCGAAAATACTCATATCTTTATCATGATTTAAATCAATTTATGCCCATTTGCTATCATAATCTCATGACCCTAACTAAAAGTTTGAGTCGTTGTAGGTTGTTACTCACACATTGGACTAACTGTTGGTACAAAATTTTAAAACTGCTCAAACTTTCAGTTCTTGTTTCCCTTTTTCCTACCAAGAACATTAGGCTTCAACATAGTTTCATCATGAAAATTGTTATTGCCACAAGAGTAAATCAATTTTTCATTGAAGTGGGTGCCCAAGAAACAGTTGTTGAAATCAAAAGAAAAATAGAACAAATCCATGGTGTTCCAGTGGCTTACCAAATCCTAACAGTTTCTGGATGGGAACTAGTTGATGGATTAGACATGGAAGATTACCCAATAGTCACTGAAGGCACAAAAGTAGATCTCGCCATCAAGCCAGGGGAGTCGCATATCATTAACTGTAATAGCAAGATACAAATCACTGTAAAGTTTCCAGCTAAACGGACTAACATAGAGGTGGATCAGACGGATACCGTCCATAGCTTGAAGGAAAAAATTCACATCATTGATAGTGCCCCCATCAAAAGAATGTCACTTTTCTTTTTGGGGAAGGAACTAGATGATGATTTTCGAAACCTAAATGAGTATGGTATTTGTGAATTTTCTGAAATTATTGTATTCCTCAAGACTATGAATCGGTCCAAAGAACCAGCATCTACGAAGGTTAGCTTTGTGGTACAAACTTCCTCTAGTTTGCTTAATGCAGCCACCATTCCATTGGAGATGAGAGATATAAGCACTATTAATGACTTGAAGCAGCTGCTGTTATGCAGAAAAATTCTGCCAGTTGATGACTATCTCTTTGTACACAGGCAGAGGATCATGCGTGATAGTTGTAGTCTAAGGTGGCATGGAGTTGAAAATGGAGACTATCTCTACGTGTTCAAAGGGACGGTTAGTCGCAGTGCCTGAGATTGAAGTTTTCATAATAATTATGAATTTATTTGTCATAGGTTGTTTTGTGCACTAGTTTGTCATTTAGAATGGAAAGTTGAAGAACATTATACATTAAATTTCATTGTTTTACACATAAACATAAACATGTTTAAACTTTAAAAGATTTTTATTTTGTCTAGAAATGTTTAAGTCTTTACTATCTCTAATCTCTATATGCTATACCTGCTACTTACACAAATTTATACATCTCTTCAAAATTAAATAGAATAAAAACAAAATATTAAAGATTACAGTAATGTAGATGCACGTTTGTATTAACATCACTCAATAGCTTAAATAGCCTCAATAATCTCCATAGAAAAAACAGAAAAGAACTATATCAGATGACAGTTCTTATTCATTAGATGCAAATATTTCAATTGAAACTGATGGGTTAGATGATTCACAATTTTGTGGGAATGTTTTTAGATTTTCAATTCAATTGGATAAAAGTGAATGCAAGAAATTGTAACTTGCTGGCCACTGCTTCTACCTTAGTCATTGTATATAATTGCAGAAATACTTAGTGAAAAGCTAGAGATACATACCCCTAAGCCTAGCTATTGAATGCTAGACACATCTCTCCTATGTTAGTTCGCGGAATGACTCATTCGGCTTTGGAATGATAAACTATTTAATAAACTATTTAAGAATATCATCCCTATTCAATAAACTATTTGTCATACCTTGCCTCTAGTAAAGTCTCCCCTAGATAAGTAAGAAATGAAGGCAGGGTGTTTTTTTGCCATAAACCACCTCAAATAGAGAAGCACCTGGGCGTGGCTCTTACGAGATCTAACATACACTTGACGTGATATATCAGACGTGTATTTTATCACAATTTTTCTTCATTGATTTTTGTTTGTCACTCTACACTTTTCCCTCTAGAGTGCTTGTAATACTATAAAGGATTAAAATATGCAAACTAAATAGTTGATAACCGATAGAAAATAAAATCTTTAATCAACAAACTAGTCTTTCTATTTGTGTGGTATCTCAAGAAAAAATGAAATCTCAGCAATAAACCGCCGTTTGTTACCAGCAATGATTTTTTTACAAACATTTACAGCAATGTAGTATCTCCCATGGTGATATTTCTACCAATTATTGGACTTAAGATTCCTCAAGGAACACAAATAATGTAAAAGGAAAAATACCTGGAATGTTTGACTGGAGAAATAGAACATTAAATTACCTTTGTCAGTTCTAACGAATGGGTCCATTAAATCCAGCAAAACATAAATTTAGAGATTCTAATTTGCTCTGCAGAAATACTTTGATTTTGGGAGATACGAGACATGGGTGGGAGCAAAATTTCCCTCTGTAACCAACAGATGATCAAGCACAAAGATCCATAAGCAGATATCCCAGACAATCTCAAATTATGCAGGAAGTTGCAGATGAAAGTAATATCATCTCACATTTCTTCCCCAAATGATAAGAGTGTTTGACTATGGTTTAAGTTGTTGTTTGATCCACTAATGCTCCTGTAAAATCTTATAATTGACAGGACCAGACAAACCTTGCACTTTCATCATAATATTATACTTTGCGGGCGCAATGGCACCGGCTTTGGTGCACAAATCCAGTACAGCTGGAACACGTCCATAGAAGTCTCTTCCTTCATTCACAAGTACAGGAGGATCGTGAGGCCTTCGTCTCCATACAATCTTTGGGGGCACTAAATTATCCACATTAGCTTTAGTCCAAAAATGACATCCTTTCCAACTCTCATACTTGAACACTCCACAGAGCCTAGCTTTATGGCCAGACGGCCCAACATGAACCTCTGAACAATATTTACAAACTTTTACTGGATATACCATCAACAATTTCTCCATCCCGGACCTGAGAGTCTCCCAAGCTTCTAAAGTTTTTTTTGCTATTAAGGCAAGATCATTCGGTGACAAAGACTCAGTACCATCAACATTGCCATTAGTAGCCTCCAAGTTCCAACCACTTGAATTAAGATTTTCATCGTGGGGATTAGCCCCTGCTTGCCAGCATAGTTCAACAACAGCAGGGATGCGATCGAAGTCAAACCTTTGGTTATGCCTAATAACACTCTGGAACATGTTGTTAAGGTGAAACGTCTCAACAGGAACAAGTATATCATTCAAACCACCTTTGACCCATTCATGAACCCTGTTCTTGGCACGATGCTTGTAACCCCAGCAAGTTGGAATTAAATGTCCCTGCTCACCAATATATATCTCTGGACAAAATCTGTATTGCACAACATAAGTAGAAAATAACACAGCTATCAACAATTTGAGCTAAAACACCGAGAGGACCACAAAGTTGAAGTAAAATACAAGTTGCTTAGTGACCACATGGGTTCAAAGTCTATTGCTTAAATATTTATTGACAGTTATTAAATGGTTATTAACTTATAATGGTTAAAGATCAAAAGCTTAAAAGTACTTGAGAAAAATAATTTAATCAATTTATATAGAAATTACTAACTTGTGATTTATGATGACATTCATAAATTAGAAAGAACCGGTAACAAGTACAAGCCTTTGCTCACTTATGTTGACCAGACTAATGCTATCAATCTTATGTTCTCACCAAGAAAATCTTTTCAAAATTTTCTTTCCCTGTCTTTTTATTACCTTATTGGAAATTTGAAACCAAATGAAAAGTATTAAAACATACCCTCTCACAAGAATGTGTTTGGAAGTTTGAAGGAGAGGGAGGGGGCTATGGAGGGAATAGTAGAAGGAAAAATAGATAAGTTATGTTACTTTTGTGAGAGTGTTTCTGTATAGAATTATAAATGAATACATATGATTAATATATTTTTAATGGTGAGTGTTATAACAACATAAATTAGATTTGGAGGATTTATCCAAGCCCTCCAAATTCATCCTCCAATACAATTTTTTAGTTTTTCCAAATTAGGGGATTTTGTATCATATAGAGAAAAAACCAAAGTCCTCTCCCAAAATTCTCCACTTCTTCCTTTTTTTAAAGTCATTTTCTCCCCTCCAAAACTCCCAAACAGAGCATAAGAGTATGTTTGAATTGATGGAATGTGACGGAATGGAGCGGAATGGAATGGTATAAAATGAGGTTCCATTGTTTGGATCAATTAAAATTAAATGAAGCGGAGCTTAATGGAATGATGGAATGGAGGGGGGTGGAATGGTATGAAATGATGTTCCAAAAGAATGTTTTAAAAAAAGCTTATCAACTTCTCCCAAGTCTAAGGCTATGTTTGGATGGACGGAATGTGACGGAATGGAGCGGAATGGAATGGAATAATGTTATATTCCATCGTTTGGATTGGAAAAAAGAGGATGGAATGGAGCGGAACATGATGGAATGCATTCCATCCAATTCCATTACTTACCCTCATTTTTGTTCCATCCGATGACGGAATAACATTTTTTACTGCATTCCATCCTAAAATATCTAAAAAATGGAATGAGATATTGATTTCGCTCCGCTCCGTTCCATTCCGTTCATTTTGAAATATCTATGTTTGGATATTGTAAAACGAAATGAGCGGAGTGGAGTGAACGGAATGGAATAAAGATGCCATTGCATTGTTTGGGTATTTCACGATGGAATAAAACAATTTTGTCATTTCCCCCAAATTGGAGGGTACAAAAAATGATAGAATGAAATGAAATGCATTCCATCAGATTTCGCTCCATTCCATCTTTTTTTAATCAATCCAAACTATGAAACATAATGTTATTTCATTCCATTCTGCTTCATTCCATCATATGCCATCAACCCAAACATCTAAGGCATTCTCATAAACTGTCCCAAGTCATGTGATTATATTAATAAATAAGCTCAAATAAGTCATCCGAATTTGATTCAAATTTATAACAAAAAATCACTAATAAAAAACAGAAATACAATACTTTTTGAATGAAACAAAAGAATAGGTGTAATGAAAAATCAAAACTCACTTGCAAGCCAAGAGAGGTAATGAATTAAGGAGAGTTGAAACACCCTTGATGAGAACATTCCTAGCAAGTAAGACCTCATTGGCAACAGGAACCATGGAACGAACAGGGTAAAGTCTGGAACGTTTCTCAATTCTTTTGAGAATCATGGGTCGGAGTTTCCTCAAGTCCACTTTAGTAGCATAATATCTGCCGAAGTTCCCAAAGCAACACCCACCCAATTTTTCGTATAGAAGAAGATCGTTCAAGAACATCTTTCTGAAAGCCATTGAATGGTCCTGCAATGAAAAACAATAGAAAAAATTGAGATCACGCCAAAGGGGCATTTCATCGAACAGATAGATGGCATTGTTAAAAGTGAATGTAGGTGGCTATTATTGACCTTGTTAAATGCACAACAATGCTTGGGTACTGTTGAGGGGCGGGGCGGGGCGCGTCTGCAACAGTGGTGGTTTGTAGTTGAGAGATGAATTGGAGGGAGGATTGACAAAGAGATGGACAAGAATATGCTGGAAGGAGAGATGAACACGATCTGATTATTGTTTCTTAGGTTTTTTGAGTTTTTCTTTATTTTATTTTATTTTAATTAAATTAGATTATTTTGATTACTGTTAGAGTATAGTAATTTATCACTTATTTTGATTTATAACAAATATAGGAAGGATTTAATTTTATAATGTCATTTTCAAAGGTGTATACGAATTAGAAAAAATTATTTGATAATTCAAACCAAATTCAGTCAAAATAAAATCAATTGTTTTTTTTCGGTTTTAAAACCAAATGAAATCAATAAAAATTGATGTGGTTTGGTTTGATTATCTGTTTTAATTTTTAGAAATCATCAAATCGATTAACCAAACTGATTTTATTTTTATCGTTGTTCTAATGAGTTATAGTTGTTTTTTCTTTTTCACTTTTAAATTCTCTTTGTTAATTTATATATATATATATATATATATATATATATATATATATATATATATATATATATATATATATATATATATATATATATATATATATATATATATATATATATATATATATATATATATATATATATATATATATATATATATATATATATATATTATTTTTTTGGTTTTTTTTCTTCAACAAAATTTCTTTTGGTCTTGTTACAAAATAATTTTGATGTGTTTGAGGTGTGAAACATGTTAATTGACGTGTGTTTTGTTGTGTTTTATTTTTTAAGCTTTCAAATCTCATCTCAGTCTTCTGATGTCAAGTGTTAACTTTTATATTTGATAATCAACTTATTTTATGATGCAATAGAAATCATGTCACTGTTTCGTATGGATTAATAGTAATTTGTAATTTGTTTGGAAAAAATTAGTGCATGAAATGAATTATAATAGCATAAAATTCACCGAAAAATACGATAATGGAGAATATACTGATGAATATAGTGTTTGGAAAAAACATTATAAGCCGATCAATCGAACCAAACCGAACCAATTCGCTTAGTTTGATTCGGTTCCATTTTAAAAAAATGTTGAAAATCGAACCAAACCAAACTGATTGAGATATTATTGGTTCGGACCTTTATTTTTACCAAAAATCGGTTCAAACCGAACCAATTACATCCCTAGTCACTTTATAAGTAAAATTAGCTTTTGTTTTATTCATTTAATCTAATAGACCAAATACTTAAATAAACCAAAAAACTAATATTTTATTTGAGGTTAATAACGCTTTTGACTCTAGCATATAGATGAATTTTGATTTATCTCAAGTTTAAAAATGGGAGTTGTTCTTTCCATTCTTATGGGTTATCCCACACCACCGCGAAAATATTAAAATGTCCCCAGCGTCCAGAGATGTTATTAGACAAAGGCAACTTATCTAGAGGGGGTGAATAGATCCCCGAAAAAATTTGTTCAATGAAAACGATTTTTAAACGTTGGCTAGCGGAAGTTACTTAAATCGATTCGTCTAAACTGAACCACTATCGAAAAGCTCGGATATGTGTGTGAGAAAACCAATAGAAGATAATGATAATCAACTTTAATCAATATGCTTTAATCACAATCACTAGAAAACTACTTAACAAGCAAATCTATTTCCAATGATAAATGAAATTAAAAAAAATACAATTGAAACAAATTATCGAACACCTTGTGTGTAATCGATTATGTTTGAGATTTTGTATAGTTTTATTGATCTTCAAATTCAACCACAATCAAAATTATTGTGATCAACTCAACAAAATGCTTTTCAAATGATTTTCAAAAGAAATCAATCACACAAATGATGAACACGACAATTTACAAACGAAATGTAAAAGAGACAGGGAGAGTACATAAGGATTTGTTTAGGCAGTTTCCCAATCGGCCTCGCTATGGGTACGTCTGCCATCAATTCGAATTGAGATCATGAAATTAACCTTACTTTGCAAAAGTAATTTACAAGAGAAATGTAGCAATGTAATGGTACAAACCCTAAGTTTGATGTTGATCCTAGAAATTTTTCTTCCCTTGATCTGAGCTTGATCAAGTCACCCAACAATGCCAATTTGGTTCATTGTCTCACACTAATCCTTTGCAAGAACCACAACCCTTCAAAGCCTTCACTCGATCGAATCCAAATTGCATAACTGTTGTAACCCAAGATTTACCAAGATGATCCACCGTCTCATGCTACTCCTTTGCAAGAACCACAACCCTTCAAAGCCTTCACTGGGCCGAATCCAAACTTGAGTAATCTTCTTGTTCAAAACCTTCAAATTCACACTTTGATCTTAAAGGAAAACCCCACCTTGGTTTTCTTATTTGAAACCCCCATAAGATCTCAACCCAATTTACAATACCATAGGCTAAATTGGACCTTATCAACTTAATTCTAGATGGCACCCAAATAATGAATAATTATGTGTACTTTGTTTGTGTGTATGCATAAAACCAAGATTGAAAATGACGACAACTCTTAGTATGTTCCAGGTTTTGTTTATGATTTTACCAAAATCATTGAAAAATAATGATGCATGTAGCAGGCATATATATGTGAGCAAGTATGAAGCAAAAGGAATGGAAAATAATGCAATTTAAAAAAAAAATTATGCATAGGTCGATTAATGCAAGTCATGTGCCAACCTATACAGGTCATGTGTCAACTTGTAGAGGCAGCACAACAAATAAAACATATGGGCTTTAATAATGCAACATATGTGCCGACCTGTAGACTTCATGTATCGACTTGTAGAAGAAAAATTCTTCTATATTTCGACCTATAATCGTATGTGTCGACCTGTAGCAGTGCTTTTCATAATTTTTTATGCATAAAATCATTTCTTGATGTATGAATCTTTTTTAATCCTTTTCCAACATGTTATAATGCTCCCTAATACTAACATGCACAACTAAACTCAGTTGACACAGTCCAATGTATATAAACGATAACAATAGTTTTGACATCATTCAAAATACACCTAATTAGAAAGTTTCACTCACAGATGCATCTCTGGACGCACTTTTACACACACAAGTGAGGCAAAAATGATCAGAAACTCTTATTCTTTTAAATTTGATCCGGAAATGCATCTCTGTATACGCAAAAGATTGTTTCGAAGATGTATCTTTGTATCCCATTTAGTTCATTTATCTGTAAACATTCTAGAGATGCATCTCTGAATTTTGCTCTATTAGTTCAAAACAAAAACTGGCAGAATGGAAAACATAAATTAACTCTAAAATAAACATTACATAAATTCAATATTACATGTTATTAAAAATATGTTGTTTGGGACGTTGCGTTGTTCTTATAATATCTTCGGTTGATCTTTGAATCATCGCATCCACTTCAATCAGACCCTTTGCTGAGTAATGGTAAAAGGTACTACGCACCACCTTAAAATCATCATTCGTCTTCAGTTCAAGCATGGTGAATCATATATTCCTTTCTTTGTCAATCGAGAGCGAACGGTACTTAAGCTTGACAACTCTCCAATTTTTTGGATATCACAAGAGAGTATTTAGTTTGGTTTTCAGATTAACGAGAAATATGTCCTCGTAGATCCGAAATTGAAGTGGGGGGTTTTGCGCATTTGAAATACACAAATGCAAGATGGGGATATGTAGTCATTATGGTTTGTGTAAAGAAAAAGGAATGAGAAACCCTATTTATAGAAATTGTCGAGCAATAAGGATCTTACAAACATGATCATATATGTGAGTGGAAATGTATACTAGTTTGTTTTTGTTTGTTGAGTCAATTATAAGCACAGAGGTAAAGGCATTGAACAACTTCACGAAATCCGGATGACTCCAAAATATATCCTAAACAATAACTTTATCCTCACATATTATGTACCTCGATACATAATATTCATCTTCCAAAAGCTTTAACAATTTTTGCATCTCAAATCTTGGTCCTCTTACCACCTTGTTGTCTCGAGCACACACATTGTATATTTGCTTGATATTTGAAACATTTAGAGGTCTTTTCTGTTTCAAAGTCGTGAGTATATTTTTCAGATCCATCATGTTTAACATCATGTCCGAAACAAGTTTCATCTACTCTGGCGCAAGGTAGCATATAATGGGATGGTCGGTTAGCTTGTCACTCAAGGCATGATTATGTATACTGAATATCACATTAAATTTGCATCTCTCATTATTCATACGGTATCCGTGCAATTTAAACAGACTCTCACATTTCCTTGATCTAGTGTCATCTCGTTTCAACTTCCCAATATTTGGTTGGTACTGTTGCACCCCAAAATTTGACCAACCTTTTCTTAACCTGGTTTATGTTTCATTTCATTTTCTTCTAGCATTTGCATTGCATAGCATTGTTCACTTAGCAGGGGATCAAAAGGTTGTGCATAGTAGGAGAAGGTCACCAGGAGTGTTGAGCCTAAGAAAGGGGTTTACTCAAGCATGAATGGTCATCAAGTCACCAAGAAGTGGTCAAAGTTTTGTGAAAGAGTTGATGGGTGTATGTGGATCAGCTCCTAACTTGGAGGCCAGTTGAAGATCATCAGAGGATTGTGGATTCATGATTATGGATATGGTATGTTGAGGAAGCTCATTTAAGGCTTTGAGAGCCATGTTGGAGTTTATTCAAGTTGTTGTATCATGTGTAAGAGGCCACAGTTAAGAGTGGTGCATCTAGGGTTTTCATCTGGTCAACCTTCAGTCAACTGTGAAATTGAAGGAGATTAAAACTCAATTCCAAGTCTTTGTGATCATGGAATGTTATGTTGAGATGTCTAATATATCATTTCAAGATCAATTCAAGAAGAATCAAGAGT